AAAATCATAAAATTAGTGTTGCTGACACCTCCTGCAAACATATTTCTGAAGGATTGCAATCCAGCCAATGCCCCAGTGAGACTTCCCATTTACTGACCTAATAAGCTACAATGTCTACCATGATGGGCAAGTGGAAGGTCCAGAGAAACTACTGGGTTAACATAATTATACGTCTTCTCAAGCATGTAAGCGCTGCTCCTCACAGCGTCTTATCAGCCTGTGGCATCTTAAGAAACACGGTCCAATCAGTGGCCTTGTATTTTGCGCATGGCTGCCCTGCCTTCCTTGCCCAGGAGCCCTGAGGGTATCGCCAGGGGCCCACTCACCATCTGCTGCTGTCACTGGGGGTGGCACTATCACGTCCGCAGTGCCATGGCAGCCCAGTGAGCCCAAGACCAGGCTTTGACCCTCTCGTCAACTGCCCTGAGACCTACTGTCATCCTCACCAGGTTATTCACAACTGCATGATGCACACTGGTTGCTGATCCAAAAGGCATATTCTGCAGAAGGTAAAAAAAGCATTGGCAAGTACCTGGTTAGCTCAGTCGGTAGAGCTAGTGACCCATATATGGAGTTGCTGCAGTGGCCTGGGTTCGAATCCAACCTGCAGGCCTTTGCTGTGTGTCATCCCCTCTCTTTCTACCCCCCTCTTCCTGTCGATCTTCAGCTGTCTCAATCAAATAAAGGCATGAAAAGGCCAAAAAATAAAATAAAATAAATAAAAGCATTGGTTTTAATTTGATGCACAACATAGCGGCTTGACAAAAGTGTTGAGGATTTGCTTCTCATATTTATGGAATCCATACACAGGTCTGAGTTTAGACTATGGATGGTGAATTGTATTTACACCACAAAAAACAGCAGTTTTCACAGTTTCAACATTCACAGCAAATCTCATGTTTCAAAATGAGGATATAATCTTTTCATGAGATGCAACTGCAAAGCTGATATTTCCTCTCATGCAGCCATTTCAAACTTTTTGAGGGGCCGTTATCAGATTTATGAGATTAATTTGCCCCTTGGATGTACAGCGTCTGGCATGAAAAATCAAACCAGCATTTGAAGGCTTGCTGGAGGGACATGCTTGCCTGATATGCTGCAGCACATCACTCGCAATACTAATTGGATGTTTGGACTATTTTTAAAAGGTCCACTGAACCCACGGCCAGCCCTTTAAAGAGCGGTTGATAAATAATTAAATCGACACAGATAGAGTGGAAGAATATTTAACTGCTACCCCCATTTAAAGGCTTAGCTTTACAAACCATCAGTTCAATAATCTCTTAATTTAAACATTCCCCTCAATCTCCAAGGCTTAGAGGCAGCATCTGCTACAAACACACACACTCTGCTGGAGAACATCTTTATAAAAATCCAACCTGAGACATGTTGACATCTGTTTTCCTAATGACTTTCATTTAGTGCCCATTTACTCACTGACTGCTTCGTGAACCATCTATCTAAAACCATCACTGTCTCAATTTATGTCATAGATTTATGAAAGGTCAGATACTCTGCTGTAAGTCCGATATAGCTCAGGATACAGCTTAGCTTTGCCTTCATTAAGTACTCACAAATCTATGTATGTTTGGCAGTTATAGACCTTATTGCTATACTTTATAAAATCAATGATGGGGCTCTCAGGGGATTTGTAAAAGGTAGGACGTTATCTATAAATGCTCCCAGCAGGAAAATTAAAACATGCTGCTCTATTTTCTTTCATAACCTATGATACACATCGACAGAAACATTAAAAGCCTTGCCACATGAATAAGAAAGCAGAAAATAAACAGCCTAAACCACACAGGTTCACGGGCGCATGAAGCAGTGATTCAGCAGCATGTTTTCAACATGAGGGCTTGACATAGAGGGGAAATTGAGATTTAAGACACTGCCAGGAGCTTTGGAGGCTGACCTGATAGCACACTGATGCCAACACCCGGTTTATTCCAACGCCAAGTCGAAACCACCACAAACTTCCAATCCCTGCCAGCTTCATATCTTAATCCCCTCAGGCTTTATCACTTAAATCACCTTTAAGAACAAAAGTGGATCCTATAGGTGGCTTTCTGCACCTTTTGCCCGCGTGTAAACCCTGCATCCCTCTCAGCTCCCTGAACAGATTTGGCTCCAGGCCACCACAGCCAGGCTCTGTGAGGGAATATGAATGGCATTAGCTGCAGGCTGTTGCCATGGTGTTGACTTATTTACTGTACATGAGCCCACTGACTTCAAACAGCGCAGTACATGTTTTGGCTGCCATATTAGTGTCAGTGTTATCATCCAAAGGACACATTTCTACTGGGTGATTTAAAACATTGAACTGTGGCTGCTTCTAAACAACAGAAAGTTATGAGCAAATGCAAAACGCCCTGTAAGCTGTAGATATACTCACCAATACAAAATTCATTATTCCATTATTATCATCTTTTGCCAAAATCAAATCCACACTTATTGGTTTTCATTAATGATACACATCATAAAAAAAACACACGAATCCCGATGAGATCAAAGCAGAATGTTTATTAAAAATAGGAAGAAAAACACAGTTGAGATCTTTCCCTGACACTGGCTCCTAATGAATAACATACTGTACATTTCAGAGTTCATTTGGGACTTTGATGTCTTGGGCAGCTGTTTTCTTGAGCAGCAGTTGGCTGCACATTTTAATGGAACCACATATGGGATATGTCACTGACATTTAAACTGCCCAATAATCAATGTGCAGAATGCATGGATTATTGAAGGCTCCCAAGGACAAATTTGGGGAAAATTACTTATCCTAAATCGTTTTAAGCAAAATAAAAATGAGAATTCGAGTAAGAGACTCATATTTGATCCCTTACAGATTCAACTGGTTGTGTAAGATTAATTCTAATTCAAGGCTGTCAAGAGAGGATATTCCATATAAGCTTTGGCAGGGCAGTATTTATGAATGGAGGAAGAGCTCCGTTTGTGTTATGTCATCAGCAATGACATGGTATTATTTGACAAAGAATGACAAAATACAGCTTTGTGTTAAATACTAACAATATTTTCAAACAATGACTTTTGTAAATATAGCATTTAAGGACAGAATCCTAAAATGAGCATAGTGCATAATTCCTGCTGAAACTAAAGTATAAGCTTATGTTTGTGCAGTGGACTAAACTCTGGGGTTTTTTCTTTTTTTTTTAGAAAACTTGTAGCAGTATTTCTTGATTCCAGTAGCAAGTGTGACAGTTGTTGCATGAATGGGCAGGCTTTTCCTGCCAAAATGTCCTATGCAGTCACTTCATGAAATGTTACGCAATAAAAAAGAAAAGCTTGTCTTCTTACCATTAATTTGAACTATATAAACAGTCATCACAATAAAGCGTATTAGGGCAATGCGCTTACTTTTTACTGTCCTCATTCCTACATGTCTAAAGAATAAATTTAACACTTTCCGAAGGTTAAGATATGTCCTGAGATTAGTTTTGCCAAATTGCACAACCTATTGACCATAACATAAGTTTGCTTGCAAATGACTTGCCTTGTCCCTGTTTTCTTCCTTGGTTAAAAGGAAAGGTTTCAAATTTATGCATACTGACTGTGGAAGAGGGATAAAGCACCTACTGTGAATAAATCAGTATTGAACTTTCCATAATAAATCTCCATCTTCGTCTCCATCAGAGACTTTACTGAGAAAATTAGGATGTAATCAATATTCAAACTAAGACTGACTAAACAGAGAAGTGTGTGCCAGCTTTTCAACTGTTCACATTAGGGATCGTCCGATATGGTTATTTCAGGGCCGATACAGATACCGATCACTAGTAATCAAGGCAACCGATAACCGATATTTAGAACCAATGAACATTTCTTGTAAAAAGAAAAATGTTAGTGTCAAAATTTTAAATAAAGAGGTCCAGTGTAACTAAGTAAATGTACTCTGTACTGTAAGTGCAGTTTTGAGGTATTTCCATTTCCCCATCTGTGGCACATGACGTGTAACCACTCTGTGGGAGGGACACTGAGCGAGACTAAAGAATAGTGAATAGACAGGGAGAGGTGGCTGCATCAAAGGCATCGAGAAGTAACACATTTTAAAATAAATTAAATTTTTTGGCAATCGGATAAAACAAGGATGAGGCCGGTAATTGGTCTATCCCTCGTTCATATAAAAATGCTAACACAATATCAGGTGAGGATGCTGTATGTATATTCTCTCTCATAAATCAAGTGAAATACCAGCAAAATGGTAATTTCTTTTTCATGTATTATACATTATCAGGTAAACAAAAAAATTCTCTCTGGTTCTATTTGTGCAATAAATAGATACACAGTGGGTGAGGACATTTATTCTTGCAAAAACAAATGTATTAATATGAACAAATATTAAGTAGTTTGAAAGAATTTAAAATGGGATTTTAAATCAATATTTTTAAAAAGATTAACCAAAAGAGCCTGAAATCTGCGAAATCAGGATCCCCCTCTTTGCTTCCTCTTCACCAAGGCTTATAGCTTTCAAACAAAGTATTAGTCTCCTCTGAATTTAGGGTTTGAGGGGGAATGGAAAAAGCAGGAACCGGAAAATATGGTTAGATTTAGCTGCTGCATTATTGGCTTTGAAGTTAATAAAATCTGCATCCTCTGTCAATATATTGGATATTGTTACATCAGACACTGGGTAGTAAAGAGTTAAAGATAACAGAAATTACACAAGCTACAATATAATGGCCAAAGAGAAGTGTAGAGTCATACATATAAAGTATAGCTTATAGACACTGATTGGACCTCTATCTGGAGGCAGTAGGTAGGTGGCGCTGTTGAGCTTTTAAATAACATACCAGCAGTCACACAAAACGGAAGCAGCAGCAGAAGAAGAAGCCCACACGTGTTTCCAACATGTCTGCCTACCGTGTTGTTGTGTGTTGAGCTGACTTGAGGCTGAGTTGAACGGTAGTTTGGTTTTATTTCGTTATCTGCGCAGTAAAGTTGCCGACCGCCGTCTTAGAGGAGCATCAAAGCTTTTCAGGATGGCCCAGAGAAAGAAGAAACTGACCAAGAAGAAGAGATACCCAGCCAGCAGAGAGCCGGAGGCTGACTCTGACAGCGGAGACTTTGAGCTGGCTGCTGAAGTTAAAGACGATGATTCTGTAAGGAAAAATACTTTTAAAAACGACTTACTAAGGCAGCGTTTGATGTAGTGACACAGTAGTGCAGTTTATGGAAAGTTACAGTATCAACTGTGTGTCAGCAGATGGTTTTTTTTGTACCAGCCTGGAGCTCTCCATACGGGGGTATAGCTCAGTGGTAGAGCATTTGACTGCAGATCAAGAGGTCCCCGGTTCAAATCCGGATGCCCCCTAAATTCTTTATACCTGTTAAACATATTAAT